AGTAAAAAATTCAAGTCTTGCCCGGTTTGAAAAGTAAATGAGACAGAAAAATCCTTCAGCAGGGCAAAGAAGYGTCAGTACATGGTTGGCCTTGGCAACCGCCTGCCAGGAGAAGAGGGRCCTATGAAACTTTCTTCTAATGAATTATCTGAATCTTATCTGCTCAAACACTTCAGAGTTCAGGAAAAGCAGCCAAAGTCAATTTTTGCTCAGAGAGTTTAAAATGAAAAATAAACAGAGAGGAGAAGTTGTGCGTGTGCAGGAGGAGGCGTTGGGGTGGGGAATGGACAGAGTGATGGGATTGGGGAGGGARTGGTTTAATTTACATTGATTCTTCTGAAATCCTCTTGGAAGTATCCATTTTTTCTGAAATGACAATGATGAAATTGCACAATCCATAATTGCAGTGGAGAGCTGCTGGTGTTCTCCCTGACCTGCCAGGTAGGTGAAACAATTGTCAGTATAAATTAGAGAACAGCTGTGTCATTACTCCATGCCAGTTATCTGATTCTACAAAGCCTGGAAAATGCCTTCTGAAATCTGTTAAACAGAAACAGAGTTTGCAGGTCCTTGTCTGCTAATATTTTAAAATGCTGAACACCCCCCTCCCCCAAAAAACTTCTGCACAGTGTGCACTGTTATGCTGGTCCAGACACAACAAAATCCTTGATCTTTCAGGAACATTTTGTGAACTTTCCCCCTGTGTTATCATCTGAGAAGAGGTACCTTGATGCTGCTGTCATCCAGATCTGTCTGGTGACTGGGATTAGTTATCTGCTCTGCCTGCCCTCCTCCCACCTGAATCAGGTGTTCTCAGCCCAGAACTCAAGCTRCCTGAACGCAGAATGGAAATGGATGTGGTTGTATTTCACTTGTAATTTCCCTTTTAGCCTATTAATACCTTATTTATTGAATAGAATGGCTTGTGTTCTTTAGTGACCTGTCACCAGTGGTTTTCAGAGCTGCTATATTCCAAAGGAAACTCCAAGAATGATTTAGTGCCTGTTTAGTGTCTTTTAAAATCAGCTACTTTCTCTGTCTGTGGCATCAGGCATACCCCATATGAATCCTCTCTGAGTGCTCTTGAKAAAGAATTAGATCACAAGCTT